GAGAGAAAGAAGAGGATATATATCAAGGAAAGAGGAGGCAGATAAGGAGAGAAATAAATAGATAAAGGAATGAAAAAATAGGAGAAGGGGTAGATAAAGAGAGCCAGCGCGAGAAAGCAGAACTCGCAGCAAGAAAGAGATCTTTATATATGCATGGAGAGAAAACAGAAACAAAAGAAATAAATAAAAGTTTAAATATATTCATCTTTATTTGCAGCTTACCGCTAACTCAACTTCAGCACAACTCCGTAGAAAGCGGGCGAGATCGCAGGCGGTGTGGAAGGTGAGCGTCATTTTTTTTTTAGGGAAACAACGAAAAAAAACCGGCAGGATGAAGGAAATTTGAGTATAAATGAGGAAAAATAATCAAAAGAATAAACAATTAAAAACAAATGCCAAATTTAAACAAAAAAAAAAAACAAAATTCAACTTTTTTTGTTGTGATCGCAGCCGAAGAAACAAAAGTTGAATTCTTCGCGGAGCTGTCGATACACCCGAAACGGCGCGTGCAGAAATTCAATAAAATTTAGCGCTTTCCGGGTATTAGAGGGGTGGAACTTCGTGAAAATTGCTATAAAATTTATAATTTTATATTATTTTGTTAATATATTCAAAGAAAATACAATAAATCCATCAAAAATAAACAAAAAAATCAACGAAATATCATCTGAATTCAACTTAATGCTGAAACGCTTTCCGGTTGTTTCCCACCTCTTTCACACCCATCGTGCAACAAAACGAAAATTTTTTATGAACTAAATAATTGCAAATGTTTTTTTTTATTTGATTTTCACACTTTTTGCAGAAATAGATCAACGACAGATCCATAAGCTGCAGCTTTCCAGCCCCGGTGCTGCTCCGGCAGCGCCTGAGAAGGCACGAGGTGACCTTGCGATTGTGCGGGAAAAAAGCAGTAAATAATTTATTTTATCTTTTTTAAATTAAATATTTTACTGTGTTGTTCTTTATTCCTCTTCTTTTTTATTTTTTATTCCAGCAAATACCCAAGATCTCAGCAGCGGACCGGCATGGCCTGCACGGGTGCCACTGCTGCAGCGATCGCGCTACGAGTTAAACAAAACAGCAGCAGCAACAAACTCTGTTTCTCCACTCTTCAGGGATCCTGGGTGGAGCAGCATAAGCTCCAGCTTTGTGTTCGTTCTATGATAGAGAAGAGAAGATACAGCTGAGACAGATTCTATGCAGTACGCGTTGCTGCTGCTTCTGCTGCAAGGTGTTTACCCCACAGACATTCATAATACCCAACAAGCCCTCTCTTACTGCATGCATGCACTAACACTGCATGCAGAGAATTTTTAAACACGTATCAGATGGTCCTCAGCAGACAGCCTATACAGCAGCAGAAAGAACGCCAACACACAACCGTAATCAACAGCAGCAGCAGCAGCAACAGCAGCAGCAGCAGCAGCAGCAGCAGCAGCAGTAGTAGTAGAAGCAGCAGCAGCAGCAGCAGTATTCTGTGCAGAATGCATGCACCAGAAAATCCGTATTCATCTTCTCCTCCTGAATACAATTTTAAAGCTTTTCAGGTGTCTGTACACTCCAATGAGCAGTGCTTATGTGCAGCAACAGCAGCAAAGGAGTGTCAGCTGAGCTGCAGCAGCAGCAGCAGCAGCAGCAGCAGATAAGTTACAGCAACAAAACCTGCATGCATGCATGCATGCATGCATGCATGCATCAATCAACAACGACAACCAACAAACCTCAGGGCCTCTCCTCTATAACAAGGGGGGCCCCCGCGCCCCTCCAACCCGCACTCCGTTTACATATAAAAGGATTCAGTTGGGGGCCCCCAGGGGGCCCCGGGGGCCCTTAAGGCCCTGGGGGCCCCCACATAAAAGGGGGGCCCCCCAGTCTACGCTCAAGAAGTGAGCCTGCTGCTGTCTCGTTTGTTCGTGTTGCTCGTTGCTCGTTACGTTGCTGCAGCTTTCTCTTGCTTCTGCTGCTGCTGCTGCTGCTGCTGCTGCTGCTGCAACAGCACCAACAGCAATAGCTGCAATTTCCCCTTCAGCTCATCATATTATCTGCTGCACCTTCTGGGGGCC